CATCTCCTCCTCCCCCTCTCGCTACCTGACTTCTCAGTATCTGCAGACTACGAGAGAGAGAGAGAGAGAGAGAGAGAGAGAGAGAGAGAGAGAGAGAGAGAGAGAGAGAGATTGGTGACTTTGGGACTCGACGATATTTGGGTCTAGACTCGACATGAGGGATTATTTGGGACCTGTACCGAAGACTTGGTGTTGACGACATTCCCATCTTCCCCTCTTCTTCGTCTAACCCCCCTCTTCTTCATCTGTGTATGGTTGGGACTGGCACATTCTTCCTGTGTGAGCGCCAGGCCCCTTCACACCATGGAATGCTGATGATGTATGTATGGTCTGCATGGCAACATTGATTGTTCGGATCAGTGGTATTTAGGCCTTCCTGTGCTATCTTGTACTATGTCAGAGATGTCGGTTCTTGTTCTGGTCTGTACCATTAAGGTATGCGACAGTTTGGTATCGGAGCGGACCTCTCAATCAGAGGACCCGCTCAATCAAGTAGCCAGCTTGCTTGATCTATTGATTGTTGAATTATTGATTGATTGATTGATTGATTGTGTATTAGTAAATCACGTAGGACTTCGTCAAATCTCTGCAATTTTTTTTTTTTTTCTTTCTCGCAACAAACATCTGAAAATTTCTGATAATAGCATTTCGTTTTTTTCTGAAAATTTCTGATATTAGCATTTCGTTTTCACGGAACAAATATCTGAAAATTTCTGATATTAGCATTTCGTTTTTCTGATATTTGCATACAGAGCCGAAAATTTCTGATACGAGCATTTCGTTTTCTAGGCATATTAGGATAACGATAGAGGTTGTCATATTCTCGGAGACTGGAATTATTCTTCTCTGAAAGTGGAACCTCCACTCTATTTAGCGCAATTTTTTTTTTCAAGATCGCATTTTTTTTTAAAGCCGAAACTTTGCGGAACCTTGCCAAGATCTTGCTCATAGTACTCCTCTGAAATGCCTCACTCGTAGCAGATCGGCAGATATACAAAAAAAAAAAAAAAAAAAGTCTTTGATTTTTATTTTTATTTTATTCTGTTGATTAGGACCGGGAGGAAAGTACAGTTTGGTTGGTTCCCTTCCTGCATTTTCCCTCCCACCCAACCCTTTGCCTGCATTCCCGGTTCGGTACAGGGCCACGTCAGCAGTGCCACGTCAGCAACAGTGCCACGTCAGCAGTGCCACATCAGCAGTGCCATGTCAGCAACAGTGCAACGTCAGCAGTGCCCCGCCACCATGATGGTCTCAGTTCTGGGCATGCCAGGCCAACTCGCCAACGAGTCCAATGCTAAGTACCTACAGCGGTTCCAAGCTCAGCTCGCACTGATCGAGGCTGAGGAACAGCGTCAGGCGGCAGCCGAGACTGCCCGCCTACAAGCTGAAGCAGCGGCTTCAGGCCGAAGCGGACGCAGATACCGAGGCACGCCGCAAGGAGGCCCAGGATCTGCTACAGCGGCATGAAGCCGCCAGCATCGGAAAGCTCAAGTTCTGGCATTTTGAACCATCTGAGCACCACGAAGACGCGACACCGAAAGAGCAGCGCAAGGAGTTTCTTGCCAAACTCGTGACCCGGTTGGTTTACACTTGTAACCACCTGCAGTCCGAGCTGGCGAATCTCCGACGGGCGGTGCGGAACCACAAGGATCTGCACGAGGATGCTACACGGGCACTTGATTCCCATGTAGAGGACTTGGAGCAAGTTGCACCAAGACCAGATGATGGCGAGTCCAGCAGCGCACCCTCTACCTGCCAATTGGAGGAACGAGTTGACCACGTAGTCGCAATGCTCGGCGACATCAGCATCTTCGCTGCACCAGCCACCATCAGCAAGCAGCTGGACACCTTGAAGACCGAGGTTCAGCAACTGCACCATCAAGACCCGGTCCCCTGGTGGGAGGGCTTTATGACGCAACTTCGGATTCTTTTCGTCCCCGAGCACTCGTACATCGGCGCGTTGTTCCTCAACTCAAAGGTCGGATGCCAGATCTGGCTCAGCCACCTGGCAACCATTCACGGCGTCCAGGTCGCCGATCTACATGAGAAGATCTCTTGGGAAGAGTTGACGAGGCTATGGAAGAAGCGATTCATCGTGGACGACGCCCTGACGCTTGCCATCAACCGCCTCTTCGCCATGACCCAAGGTAACACATCGACACACGACTGGCTCACGGAATGGCAAAAGATCGCTGCAGCGCCCGATCTCGAGTTGCCATTTTTGCATCTGTCCAGGGAGTTCTACAACCGGCCATGTGCCTCCTTGAGCATCGCACTTGGTGATGGCGAGCAATACTCGACCTTCGCCGAAATCATCGACAAGGCAAGGGAGATCATCAAGACCAACAGGGCGGTTGCACACGAGAAGTCAGCGTGGCAGCCAACCTATGTGGAGAAAGGAAAATTTGGTCCGCGTTCGCAGCATGTCGCTGCAGTCCAACCGGACAACATTGTGAAAGACCTGGCAGCCACCCAAGCATCACGTGAGGGAGATCAGGTGGCCGCTGTCCAGCCGTGAAGCAACAACAACTCTCGAGGAAAAGGGAAGGCGAAAACCGCATCGCCGGCCGGAAGCGAACAGCCAGCACCATGGGTCAAGTTTCACTTGACCAAGGCCGAATACAAGTGGCGTGGTCGGTATGGCTGCTGCTATGGGTGCAACAGCACCAAGCACAAGACCTCCCAAAGCCTGGATCAAGGCAAGGAGGATGTTCGGGAAACTGAGTTGCACGGGAGGTGAGGCGACTCCACCTCTCACTCCGCCAGATTCGGCCGCCTTGCTAGCGGCCTCCTACACATATGGGGAGGATGCGAATGTCGCAAGTCCTCGGTTCACTTACGAGGATTATGCTGTCCACTTGGTCCTACCGTTGGACCAACCACTCCACGTGCAACAATCCACCGCATGCACGGTTTCACCACCATCGGCAACCGATTCGGCAGCTTCGCCGCCATC